GTCTAGGGACATGACGGAAACTTAACGGCTTGTCCCGGCTGGATCGGTGCCTCGCCAGTGAAAAACAGCCGTATAAAAAATTTCGGCAAGCCGACGTGTTGTTTGGCGCCAGACATCGTCATCCAACAATAAAAGAAAATCGCCACTCTGCCTGATAAGAACACATGTTTCACTTACGGTACTTATAACTGGATACGTTGGCGAAACATGAAATTATCACATGAATCTATTAGCCATAGAACTGTTAGGCATGACGTGAAAAAATATTGACCGTGGATTAGATGAAGACGTCATTCCGCTCTCGGTTTCATTTGTGGGCGTTTTACGGTATTATGGTTTACTCATGGGGATCATTAGGCACAAGAGTCAGAAAACATATCTTGTTCATGATGTTATCCTACAGAAGGAGACCCTTTTCTATTTTCATGCGCAAATTTTAAGCGTTCCACAGAAATTCCATTACGCTACTCCGAGACCATTCTAGGAGAAATTAAAGGCGGACCGCAGAACAAATTTAAACTGGATTAGAACGGGATAACTGTCCACGTTTTCGTAAGAAGTGTTGGGATATACATTTTCTTTGTAATTCGTTTATCTTTATGTAAATGTGAAAATGGAACTTGTCTAGCTGAATGTATATGTTGTATTCCTAACTAAAATTTATAATGACTGGAAAAGAGACGTCCATGACTAGTTTCTGATACTCGCGTAGAACTAGTACTAATATCAGCAATGAAACTTAAATGCGTAATGACATCATTAACACACTGAGGGCACAGGGTTTTAAAACCTGATGGAAGAACTCTTAAGAATACAAACGAGTCTTTCTCGTCCTGGTAGTTTTGATTGTGTGACTTCACAAGTAAAGGAAACTTCGAGGAAATAATTGATTAGTAGTTCCTCAAATTATTAATTTCTCTTATATTTCTTGTCCACATTGCACAATATATTTATCAACATATCTATATTTATATTGTTTCACAAGTACAAGAATTCAAAAAGAAAGTTTCATAATTTTAAAGGAAATATGATTAAGGTACAAAAACTTTTGTATTCCAAAGGAAATTTTAACAGAGTATCCCAAGCAATCAATAACGACTAGTTCGACAACTTGTTTAGATCATAAGTGTCCCAGATGTCAACGGTCGATATTTTTACGTTCTCGCGCTTAAGAAGGAACTTTTAAAGAAGAGAAGTTTTAAAGAAATTATGCGCGAAAACAGCCAATTTTCTTCAGAAAAACTTATTACAGGGCACTGGTAACTAAAAATTGGATAAATCTAGTTGCTGAATTTAGAAAAAAAACTAACACGTGGTGTAGCCACAAATCAAGTTTTATGGGCCCTTGATGTTGAAAAATCAATTTACGGCGAAACGTGTGTCAGTCTGAACAACGATAGCGGCGAAACTGTTGTCTATTTTCTCCAAAGTAAATATTCATCCTTCGATCTGACATTTAGCTCCAACCTCCAGTTGAGAACTCATATCCAATTTCATTCAAACATTATAGACAGTTAAGCCACCAAACTCAAAATTCAATTAAATCCTAACAAAACGGCTACCCAAA